GAATATGGCATCTACATCAGTGGCGTGCTGGCAGGGGGGGCCGGGGGGCCACGGCCCCCCCAGCTGGCAATTCTTGGGGGCGCAAAAATGAAAAGGGGGCGCCGAATTTTGAAAGTGGGTGGGAAAAAACGCATTCGAAAAAATATAGTTACTTCCGCCAAGAAAAGATGTGTTTATAGGCTTATAAACAGACTAAGCGCATAGGCGACAAAGTGATATATTAAATTATACAGACTGATTTTGTCTAACCGTATTTGCTAATTTGCTACCTCACGACTCACACAAAATCGTTCATATAGAAACATGATCAGTGATTACACGCAATGTCTCATTACCGGAATATTGGTCAGGTTTCGAAGCGATCACGGGAATTATGCCCTTTTTTGCTGGTATTATGCCCTTATATTATACCCTTTATTATGCTTCACGAAACACGAGAGCGGCGCAAATTAGATAGTTGAAGTTATGATAATGTAAAGTTGTGTACGCAATTTAGTTGTTTGCGCAAGAAACATCATGAGTAATGTAAGGCCCCGTTTACACTATACCGGATTCGCTCGTCACGTCATCCTCTTCTGCCGTTAAGGAGCAATGGTTAGTAGCAAATGCTTATTAGTCTGACAGAATTGGCATGTTCATTTGGGTCTCTGAGATTAAAAATCTTCCGACAGCCTTTCAATACCTACAAAACTTGACCTATTCCCATAGCAATCCGGTATACGGGGCCTAAGTAATGAAATAATGCTGAAACGCGCCCTTTTGAGTTTTGGCAGGCAGGCAAGGAAACCTTAAAATGCATATATGCGTGGGGTCCGCGTGTTATTGTATAAAAGAGCTGTAAGTTGTAAATGTATTCAGATCACTAGATCAGTAGAGAATAGAATTGGGATTAGATTAATCGCTTGAAGTACTACTACTAAATTCTAACCAAATTTCAAATTTCGACACGTTATAATGTCGTTTCCTGACCATCAGATTTCTGTCAAATCTTCCCCCAAAGTCAAGGAAATGGCATTTCAGAGACTCTAAATTCAAAAATTTTCCTGGGGGGCATGACCCCGAACCCCCCTGGACAAACCTCGCACTTGCGGCGCTCGGCTCGTGCCGTCTGCCCTCGTGTATCAAGCGTAACATTATAGGGGCGCATATTGGTTGACAGCCCACTGGCCCCCCCAGAAAAATAGTACCTAGCACGCCACTGCCAGCTATATAACCTATATTTTCCGCATCTTACAACATTTTGCAACCAAACTTTGCAATTTTACTCTTAGTTTTAGTATGCTCTTTCCGCGGGAATACACTTTTTTTGCCAAGATAAAAAATTAGTGTATAATGCATGGGGAATTGGGAATTGTCTATAAATTGTTACTTGTTGAAAAGAAAATGGTATCTGAGCTATAGTATAGAAAATACTACCGTTGCAAATATTCTGAATATTAATATTACAGAAACTTTCTATGTAGTGTTTGGAGAATTTACTATAACTGTTCACTCCGTAAAAACAGAATATATGTTATTGGGGTGTTCCCGAGGTTTATTGGGCCGTTGCAACAAATCAAACTTGAAGAGTCGAATATTGAACTGGTTAACACGAAAATATGTCTTGGTTTAAAAGTGGATTCTCGCCTCAAGTGATATCATGCCATGGAGGTCGTTGAGCCTATTTAATGAAGTTCAGAATGAGAATGAAATTTGAACCATAACCCTCCCCCCCCCCCTCCTGTACACATCACACAATTATTATAGTTTTTAAACGTAGGGTCGTCATCTTACAATTTCAATCATCTTTAGTATAATGGGAATAACCTTCAAAGCCATATTGACGCCTGAATCTAAAGGTAGATAAAAAACTTTATGAATAAAAATGTCCGAAATCTCAACAACGCGACCGAATTTATAGCCCACGTCGTAATGGTTCCTCCGGGTAAGTTCGGGTAAAATTTCAGGTTTCAAACCTTCTTCAAAATTATGTGAATTATGGCTTTTTCCAGTTGTAATGTAAATTATGTCATTCAAAATGCGTAAATTATGTCATTCTATATGCGTATAAGTAAGAAAAGAGTGGAAAAACTTTCTTTCACGAGGAAAACGTATTAACAATAATAGTTATCTGACGTAGTAGTTCTTTAACATACCTGATATCTTAACTTTAATATTAAAGTCTGAGTTTTTAACTGTTTAATCTGTTGTTGCTTCTTGATCGTTTGAAGAACAATGTCAAAGAAACCACGTCATGGCATCGATTGTTGGATGTTTTGTTTTAAATTCGCATCCTTTGACGGTATTTTTGCATATACTACCTGCTGTCACAACATCTTTCAAGTTCCGGATCGTTTTTGACTGTGACGCTATCACTTAGAAACTGACACGTTTTCATTATTTTCAGTCCTTACTCCTTATCATTCACTTCGTCTTTAATCATGCGAAAGTATTATAGGACTAAGAAGTGGAAATGTTATAGAGAATGAAGCAAATTATCTGTCAGTCACATTTTTCTTACAGTTAGTCGGGGGGGGGGG